AAAAAAAAAAAAAAAAAAAAAAAAAAAAAAAAAAAAAAAAAAAAAAAAAAAAAAAAAAAAAAAAAAAAAAAAAAAAAAAAAAAAAAAAAAAAAAAAAAAAAAAAAAAAAAAAAAAAAAAAAAAAAAAAAAAAAAAAAAAAAAAAAAAAAAAAAAAAAAAAAAAAAAAAAAAAAAAAAAAAAAAAAAAAAAAAAAAAAAAAAAAAAAAAAAAAAAAAAAAAAAAAAAAAAAAAAAAAAAAAAAAAAAAAAAAAAAAAAAAAAAAAAAAAAAAAAAAAAAAAAAAAAAAAAAAAAAAAAAAAAAAAAAAAAAAAAAAAAAAAAAAAAAAAAAAAAAAAAAAAAAAAAAAAAAAAAAAAAAAAAAAAAAAAAAAAAAAAAAAAAAAAAAAAAAAAAAAAAAAAAAAAAAAAAAAAAAAAAAAAAAAAAAAAAAAAAAAAAAAAAAAAAAAAAAAAAAAAAAAAAAAAAAAAAAAAAAAAAAAAAAAAAAAAAAAAAAAAAAAAAAAAAAAAAAAAAAAAAAAAAAAAAAAAAAAAAAAAAAAAAAAAAAAAAAAAAAAAAAAAAAAAAAAAAAAAAAAAAAAAAAAAAAAAAAAAAAAAAAAAAAAAAAAAAAAAAAAAAAAAAAAAAAAAAAAAAAAAAAAAAAAAAAAAAAAAAAAAAAAAAAAAAAAAAAAAAAAAAAAAAAAAAAAAAAAAAAAAAAAAAAAAAAAAAAAAAAAAAAAAAAAAAAAAAAAAAAAAAAAAAAAAAAAAAAAAAAAAAAAAAAAAAAAAAAAAAAAAAAAAAAAAAAAAAAAAAAAAAAAAAAAAAAAAAAAAAAAAAAAAAAAAAAAAAAAAAAAAAAAAAAAAAAAAAAAAAAAAAAAAAAAAAAAAAAAAAAAAAAAAAAAAAAAAAAAAAAAAAAAAAAAAAAAAAAAAAAAAAAAAAAAAAAAAAAAAAAAAAAAAAAAAAAAAAAAAAAAAAAAAAAAAAAAAAAAAAAAAAAAAAAAAAAAAAAAAAAAAAAAAAAAAAAAAAAAAAAAAAAAAAAAAAAAAAAAAAAAAAAAAAAAAAAAAAAAAAAAAAAAAAAAAAAAAAAAAAAAAAAAAAAAAAAAAAAAAAAAAAAAAAAAAAAAAAAAAAAAAAAAAAAAAAAAAAAAAAAAAAAAAAAAAAAAAAAAAAAAAAAAAAAAAAAAAAAAAAAAAAAAAAAAAAAAAAAAAAAAAAAAAAAAAAAAAAAAAAAAAAAAAAAAAAAAAAAAAAAAAAAAAAAAAAAAAAAAAAAAAAAAAAAAAAAAAAAAAAAAAAAAAAAAAAAAAAAAAAAAAAAAAAAAAAAAAAAAAAAAAAAAAAAAAAAAAAAAAAAAAAAAAAAAAAAAAAAAAAAAAAAAAAAAAAAAAAAAAAAAAAAAAAAAAAAAAAAAAAAAAAAAAAAAAAAAAAAAAAAAAAAAAAAAAAAAAAAAAAAAAAAAAAAAAAAAAAAAAAAAAAAAAAAAAAAAAAAAAAAAAAAAAAAAAAAAAAAAAAAAAAAAAAAAAAAAAAAAAAAAAAAAAAAAAAAAAAAAAAAAAAAAAAAAAAAAAAAAAAAAAAAAAAAAAAAAAAAAAAAAAAAAAAAAAAAAAAAAAAAAAAAAAAAAAAAAAAAAAAAAAAAAAAAAAAAAAAAAAAAAAAAAAAAAAAAAAAAAAAAAAAAAAAAAAAAAAAAAAAAAAAAAAAAAAAAAAAAAAAAAAAAAAAAAAAAAAAAAAAAAAAAAAAAAAAAAAAAAAAAAAAAAAAAAAAAAAAAAAAAAAAAAAAAAAAAAAAAAAAAAAAAAAAAAAAAAAAAAAAAAAAAAAAAAAAAAAAAAAAAAAAAAAAAAAAAAAAAAAAAAAAAAAAAAAAAAAAAAAAAAAAAAAAAAAAAAAAAAAAAAAAAAAAAAAAAAAAAAAAAAAAAAAAAAAAAAAAAAAAAAAAAAAAAAAAAAAAAAAAAAAAAAAAAAAAAAAAAAAAAAAAAAAAAAAAAAAAAAAAAAAAAAAAAAAAAAAAAAAAAAAAAAAAAAAAAAAAAAAAAAAAAAAAAAAAAAAAAAAAAAAAAAAAAAAAAAAAAAAAAAAAAAAAAAAAAAAAAAAAAAAAAAAAAAAAAAAAAAAAAAAAAAAAAAAAAAAAAAAAAAAAAAAAAAAAAAAAAAAAAAAAAAAAAAAAAAAAAAAAAAAAAAAAAAAAAAAAAAAAAAAAAAAAAAAAAAAAAAAAAAAAAAAAAAAAAAAAAAAAAAAAAAAAAAAAAAAAAAAAAAAAAAAAAAAAAAAAAAAAAAAAAAAAAAAAAAAAAAAAAAAAAAAAAAAAAAAAAAAAAAAAAAAAAAAAAAAAAAAAAAAAAAAAAAAAAAAAAAAAAAAAAAAAAAAAAAAAAAAAAAAAAAAAAAAAAAAAAAAAAAAAAAAAAAAAAAAAAAAAAAAAAAAAAAAAAAAAAAAAAAAAAAAAAAAAAAAAAAAAAAAAAAAAAAAAAAAAAAAAAAAAAAAAAAAAAAAAAAAAAAAAAAAAAAAAAAAAAAAAAAAAAAAAAAAAAAAAAAAAAAAAAAAAAAAAAAAAAAAAAAAAAAAAAAAAAAAAAAAAAAAAAAAAAAAAAAAAAAAAAAAAAAAAAAAAAAAAAAAAAAAAAAAAAAAAAAAAAAAAAAAAAAAAAAAAAAAAAAAAAAAAAAAAAAAAAAAAAAAAAAAAAAAAAAAAAAAAAAAAAAAAAAAAAAAAAAAAAAAAAAAAAAAAAAAAAAAAAAAAAAAAAAAAAAAAAAAAAAAAAAAAAAAAAAAAAAAAAAAAAAAAAAAAAAAAAAAAAAAAAAAAAAAAAAAAAAAAAAAAAAAAAAAAAAAAAAAAAAAAAAAAAAAAAAAAAAAAAAAAAAAAAAAAAAAAAAAAAAAAAAAAAAAAAAAAAAAAAAAAAAAAAAAAAAAAAAAAAAAAAAAAAAAAAAAAAAAAAAAAAAAAAAAAAAAAAAAAAAAAAAAAAAAAAAAAAAAAAAAAAAAAAAAAAAAAAAAAAAAAAAAAAAAAAAAAAAAAAAAAAAAAAAAAAAAAAAAAAAAAAAAAAAAAAAAAAAAAAAAAAAAAAAAAAAAAAAAAAAAAAAAAAAAAAAAAAAAAAAAAAAAAAAAAAAAAAAAAAAAAAAAAAAAAAAAAAAAAAAAAAAAAAAAAAAAAAAAAAAAAAAAAAAAAAAAAAAAAAAAAAAAAAAAAAAAAAAAAAAAAAAAAAAAAAAAAAAAAAAAAAAAAAAAAAAAAAAAAAAAAAAAAAAAAAAAAAAAAAAAAAAAAAAAAAAAAAAAAAAAAAAAAAAAAAAAAAAAAAAAAAAAAAAAAAAAAAAAAAAAAAAAAAAAAAAAAAAAAAAAAAAAAAAAAAAAAAAAAAAAAAAAAAAAAAAAAAAAAAAAAAAAAAAAAAAAAAAAAAAAAAAAAAAAAAAAAAAAAAAAAAAAAAAAAAAAAAAAAAAAAAAAAAAAAAAAAAAAAAAAAAAAAAAAAAAAAAAAAAAAAAAAAAAAAAAAAAAAAAAAAAAAAAAAAAAAAAAAAAAAAAAAAAAAAAAAAAAAAAAAAAAAAAAAAAAAAAAAAAAAAAAAAAAAAAAAAAAAAAAAAAAAAAAAAAAAAAAAAAAAAAAAAAAAAAAAAAAAAAAAAAAAAAAAAAAAAAAAAAAAAAAAAAAAAAAAAAAAAAAAAAAAAAAAAAAAAAAAAAAAAAAAAAAAAAAAAAAAAAAAAAAAAAAAAAAAAAAAAAAAAAAAAAAAAAAAAAAAAAAAAAAAAAAAAAAAAAAAAAAAAAAAAAAAAAAAAAAAAAAAAAAAAAAAAAAAAAAAAAAAAAAAAAAAAAAAAAAAAAAAAAAAAAAAAAAAAAAAAAAAAAAAAAAAAAAAAAAAAAAAAAAAAAAAAAAAAAAAAAAAAAAAAAAAAAAAAAAAAAAAAAAAAAAAAAAAAAAAAAAAAAAAAAAAAAAAAAAAAAAAAAAAAAAAAAAAAAAAAAAAAAAAAAAAAAAAAAAAAAAAAAAAAAAAAAAAAAAAAAAAAAAAAAAAAAAAAAAAAAAAAAAAAAAAAAAAAAAAAAAAAAAAAAAAAAAAAAAAAAAAAAAAAAAAAAAAAAAAAAAAAAAAAAAAAAAAAAAAAAAAAAAAAAAAAAAAAAAAAAAAAAAAAAAAAAAAAAAAAAAAAAAAAAAAAAAAAAAAAAAAAAAAAAAAAAAAAAAAAAAAAAAAAAAAAAAAAAAAAAAAAAAAAAAAAAAAAAAAAAAAAAAAAAAAAAAAAAAAAAAAAAAAAAAAAAAAAAAAAAAAAAAAAAAAAAAAAAAAAAAAAAAAAAAAAAAAAAAAAAAAAAAAAAAAAAAAAAAAAAAAAAAAAAAAAAAAAAAAAAAAAAAAAAAAAAAAAAAAAAAAAAAAAAAAAAAAAAAAAAAAAAAAAAAAAAAAAAAAAAAAAAAAAAAAAAAAAAAAAAAAAAAAAAAAAAAAAAAAAAAAAAAAAAAAAAAAAAAAAAAAAAAAAAAAAAAAAAAAAAAAAAAAAAAAAAAAAAAAAAAAAAAAAAAAAAAAAAAAAAAAAAAAAAAAAAAAAAAAAAAAAAAAAAAAAAAAAAAAAAAAAAAAAAAAAAAAAAAAAAAAAAAAAAAAAAAAAAAAAAAAAAAAAAAAAAAAAAAAAAAAAAAAAAAAAAAAAAAAAAAAAAAAAAAAAAAAAAAAAAAAAAAAAAAAAAAAAAAAAAAAAAAAAAAAAAAAAAAAAAAAAAAAAAAAAAAAAAAAAAAAAAAAAAAAAAAAAAAAAAAAAAAAAAAAAAAAAAAAAAAAAAAAAAAAAAAAAAAAAAAAAAAAAAAAAAAAAAAAAAAAAAAAAAAAAAAAAAAAAAAAAAAAAAAAAAAAAAAAAAAAAAAAAAAAAAAAAAAAAAAAAAAAAAAAAAAAAAAAAAAAAAAAAAAAAAAAAAAAAAAAAAAAAAAAAAAAAAAAAAAAAAAAAAAAAAAAAAAAAAAAAAAAAAAAAAANTAGTTTTCTAAACTAATCTATTATAAAGAAAATATACATTAGAGCACTTGGATATAGTTGCTTAATTTTTTCAGATGAACAAAATTTCTAGATTCCATTACAGACCAACTATTACAGAAGAATTATTAGAAATACCAGAAGATTGGGATGCAGCTATTCACAAAATAATTAAGAGGTAAATACTATGAAGTTGTTGTTTTTTTAATGTAAAGATTCTTTGCACTCAGTTTTATTTAACAAACTTTTCTAAAGTAAATTTTATTAATTGATTTATAAATTATACAGTATATTATATTTTTGTTCTGAATTATTATTATTATTTAATCGAAATTATAAACTTCATCCTTTTTAAAATATAAAGTTATTTGTAAATGTTTAATTACATTTGGCGATTAAGAAAGTCTAGTTAAAGTTAATTAAATAAATAATTTATAAGTGTATATATAATTGTTTTAGAGAACCGGAATTAGATTCGAAATTTATAAATAAATCATATGATAAAGGAAGTGATGAAAAAAGCCAAATTACTAGAAATGATAGTAATTCATCTGTTAATAAATGCAGGTAAATATAGTTCTGTAAATATAATCTTATTCTTCGAGGATTTCGAACACCCTTAAGCATAACAGGTCATCAAATTAAGTATCGAGTAATTACTTTCTCGTTTAATTTCTGTTAGATTCAAATAATTAACTTTATAAATACTGATAGGAATTAAAAAGAAAAAATATTTTATCTTATTTATAGTGATGATGAAAGTAGAAAAATAGAAGGATTCGTGAATGTTGACAAGCCCATTAAAAAAGTTTCCATTTTGGAGGAGTTTGAACTTGTGCCAGGCTTATTTGTTTCTGCTGAAAGCGTAGAGCTGTAATATAAAATGTTTTAAATGTAACTCTAACATTTAAGTAGTCTATTATATGCAGTATATAAATTTTAATTACTGTTAAAACTTCTGTAAAGTATCATTTTCGAGAACAATAAATCTTCTTAAGTTGAAAGCAGCGTTTTAAATAAAATCATTCACAAAACCAATCCTTTATTTAAGCATGTTCTTTCTTTTAACAAGTGAAAAGACACGAAAATCCGTTAAGAATTGAACAAAGAATCGAAAAACACCCCGAAGGATTCGTTGATCGAGTTCGATAGGGGAAAAGAAACTTGCAACTTTGAAGTGGTCCGCAGTAGGCACACCTGCAGTTAATTCGAACTGGATACTATCCAGTCAATAATTATAGTTCGAGGGTGTGACTGTAGCCTTCGGAAAATCCACATGGTTGACCTTTGTCACCGAGGTCATATTTCTGTCTCGGGGTATATCCTTCTACGTTGACAACCGCTCCCTGCTTCGTGTTAAGTTTGGTAGGAGAAAAACAAATAAAACTCGCGAATATATTAATTTTATTACCGCAACTAAATATTTTAAACTACTCAAAAAACAGCTTAGTGTTATTTAGTCGGTTGTATAAATCTGTCAACGACACCTCGGGCCGTGATTATTTCTCCTTGCTGCTTGTTCTCGGCAGGACACCCCCCATAATATAAGTCATTATGTTTGTCAATACATAAGCCTCCAGTAACATGTTAGTGAAACTCGCTCAGAAATGGGGTGCGGCGACCTCAAAAGACTTCTCTAGCGTAGCCTTATTGGTCAGCGGGTACCACAAACGATGAAGCACAAAACATCTGTAAGCTTTCCTATTTGGATTTCGAACAAGAAGGTATGTTTTCACGTTCGAATTTTACTTGTTTTTCATTTTTACTAGACTTTTAGAACACAGATTCGAGCATTTTATAGTTATATTTAATATTATTATTATTCTGTCAACCTTGATCTTCTTGCTAATTAAATGGCAATTATATTAATTTTAAATCTTAATTAATTTAATTATTTTAATGAAGTATTTCATTAAAATAAGTTTCATATTTTATCTCATCATAATATAATTATTATACTTATTTAAACAGTGTTGAATATAAAGCTATATTAATGACCCTTTAGTAAAGAAGATTTTTATTACGTTTTTATAAGTTTAAATAGTAATTTTCTTAGTGTTTTTATTTTATTTTTCTGCTTTCAAATCGAAAACTATGACAAATCGATTAAACGTCCAAAAATAAATTTTCGTGCTTCCTTTTTGTCGTCTAAAAACTTATAGATTAGAGTCGAAGATGAGATTATATTGAATTAGTAGAAGTTTAAGCTGAAACAATAATAAATTTCTATAAATATATTTATGCTCGACATACATTTATTCGTATTGTAGAGAATTTTTTAATTCTTAACATAAAATTCTTATATATCATATCTTTAAAAATTCCTAATTTCCATATTTTTGTTTTCTCATTATTTTTCTTCTAGAATCCTTTAATTACTCTTAAATTCAAATGTAAAAATCATTGAGATTAAGCTATATTTATATATTTTTATTTTATAATTCTGAAATCATTTATTCAAATTCGGCTTAAATAGAATAGGCACGCATAGAAAACATAAAGAAGACGTGTTTGAATTGTGTTCATTGTTAACTTGCAAATTCAATCCATATTCAAGTATATATAACATCAAACAAATAGAAATATATTGATTAAGACTTATCTATTAAGGAAAAAAAATTACAAAAATAATAATTTTGTAACCTTATAAACAGTAATAATTATTAAGTAAATATAATCATTAATTTGTAATTTTTAATTATAACATTGGTCTATATATAAGTATTTAGTTTTACTTGCATTCTATAAATTATTAGTAAAAATAAATCTATGGTGTTTAATTAATATTTTGTATATTTTAACGCTTCATTAAAGTGTTAATTATTATTTTAATTTAATTTTTTCTAGAATGACACCGAGTTTGAGAAATTATTATATGGATACGATTCCATCTCTGAATCCAGAAAAATCGGTTCTGTCGACAATACCCTGGAGACCTCCGATGCTTACTTTACCTTATATTCATTCTAATATGAATACGGATCTGACTACGACCCACACTGATCTGACTCCAATAATTCCGGTAACTTACAATTCTAGTTTGCCAACCGATTGCTGGAGCCAAAGATTTCTTCCTCAGACTCCTTTTAGCTGTAACATTCCGATGCAAAAGCCTGAAATAACCTCATCCGTTATATCCACTCGACGTTGCAGAAAGTGCGTGTGTCCTAACTGTCAGAATCCCGAAGGCAACAATAACGGAAATGGCAAAAAGCAACATCGTTGTCACTTTCCGAATTGTGAAAAAGTATACGGAAAGACCTCTCATCTAAAGGCCCATCTTCGATGGCATTTAGGTGAAAGACCTTTCGCGTGTAGTTGGTTGCATTGTCAGAAGAATTTCACCCGTTCTGATGAGTTGCAACGTCACATGAGGACGCACACCGGTGATAAACGTTACGCGTGCAATCAATGCACCAAGCGATTTACCAGATCTGATCATTTAAATAAACATATGAAGACCCATTCTACAGCATCTAAGAACATATTGTAAATTGTACTTGCTCTTAGTCTGTATATAATGAATTTTTCAATTAAATATTGAAACTTTAAGTAAAAAAGTGTCTTTTTTTCTCTTTCTCTTTTAAATTATCTCGATTTAATTAAAAACCCTTTCTCGTCATCGATTATTTAAGTAAATTTTTTAAAGTTTTGCTTCCAAACTCCTAAGGGCATAGGAATAGTATAATAGAGAGATTTATAATCTCGAATTGTAAGAGGATTAACTTTCTGTTATAGATCTTTTACAAAGCATAAACTAGTTTCTATATTTAAATTTTTGTTACAACGTCATAGGAAATTTAGTTAATGCATAAACTAGATTTAATTATTATCGTAAGACATCTTCAAATGAATGGAATAAGTAGAGTAGTAATTGCGCTATCTTCTAACGTTTTCACATTGCTCTTTTGTTGTTAATTAGATAGATGAATCTAATTTATTCCAAACACCTCGATAATCTTAGTTGGCGAATTAATTAAGACATCTTGTCACCCGGACAGTTTTATTTTATCCGTAACACGTGGCCTGCACATGCGTCAGGTATTACTGACAACTGTTGCTATGGTGATGGAGAATGAAGGGTATGAACGTGAGCTGCTGTCTTTTGACAGAAAGACAGTAAAACGACAACAAACTGACTCCTGTGCAAAGTCGGTAAGGTAAGTGGTCATCATTTTCAAATGTCTGTCTGTATTGTTCATTTCCATAATCGGTCTGTTAGCATGAAGAGAAAGTAGTAATGGATTGCGGGTTAGTGGCTCCACAAAGGTGAACTCTTTCTTTATCCTGTTTTTTTTATACCATTTTAAACGTGCTTATTGTCCAAAATACGAACGAGATATGATAAATGCGACATTATTCGAAGGTCGAAGGTTGTTTAACTTCTCTTTCCGAGTGCCTTTGATCTGTCTTATTAGCTACTACAACCGATTAGTGAAATGACGTGCAATTTTGTTTACGTCTGTTAAAACCTGTCTTAGATTTATATTAATTAATTTCGAATCTATACGTTATATTTATTGATAAATATACAGAAATTTGCAACTTCTCTCAATAAATTTAATCTGCAATCTTTTATTTTTAGAAAATTTCTATCGAGTTTAATTACACGGTTCATTGGTATATAAATAAAATTATTTGTATTATTTTCTTAGCAAATACCGAATCTATTAATTTTGAAAATAAGAGATAAAAGAACTGAACTGTTTTGTATTAAATTCAAAATGATGATTAGATTTTGTTTAAAAAGTTTTTGAATAAATGTGAAAAAAAAAATCCAATTTATAAATGAAAAATTTGTTATTTTATTTTTTAAAAAAATGCATTTAAATCTAAATATTATAAATAAATTGGGAAAAAATTATTTGTAATTAATATATTAATACAAGTCATGAATATTTAAAATTGCAATTTTGGGATGAAAATATTTCAAACTTTGAATCAAATCAACATTATTCATTATTAAAGATTAAATTAAATTTAAAAAAAATGTTATCTTTTACAGCTCTTAATGAATTAAATATAAGGAAAAAAATATATATTTGCATTTTGATGATTTAAATATTCTGTAAAAACACTTATTTAAATGATGTGCCTCGTTGTTAATTTATATTTATTTTTAAATTAGATTTATAAAGTATTGCGAGTTACTAAAACAATTACTTTCTGACTAAGTTGTTGTAATAAAACAAAGATATAAGAAAATCTTTTTTCTAAGTGACCTGTCGATGTCGATAATGTCTAATATATATCAAAAGGATATATAATACAACTCTATACGGTTGATGTTGCCTCACGTAAGAATGTCAGAATTTTGAGATCGTTTAATATTACTAATATATAAAGTTATAAATTATTTATATAATTCTTTTAATTATGAATATAAATAATACAATTTAAAATATTTTAGTTAATGAAAGTGATCTTCAATAAGTTATTTTAACAATATACAGAATTTGTTTTACTTTTGCTTTACCTAATTTACTAATGAAACTCAATTATTGGATAAACAATATTAATTAATTTTCTTGTAAGATGTTTCTTAATTATCCATTATAAAACTTAAGGGTGATAGATTGTTAAAACTAACGACCCACAAGTAGAAAAGAGTGATATTTGGATGCCATGTTTGATTCTAATTGATATTAGTAGTCATGACACTTGTAGTAGACTGGCAATATCGTCACAATGTATATTAATCACGTGTGTGCGGTTCTTTATGCATGCTTTACTTAGTAACTTATATATTTTCAGGTATTGCTAAGGGTTAAGTAATTATTTCCTAAGAAATGTTATAAAGTTAGTATTATTGCTAATAATTATAATAATATTCTTAATGGGAACAAAACAAAATAATTTATAAATTTATTAATTTCTATTTTATAATTAAAGAACAAGTTTTTAAAATTCAAAAGTAGAAAAAAACAACCGAATTTTTATGATTGAATATAAAAGTAAAACATATATGTTTACAAATAAATTATATATGAAAATGTAATTTAAGTATACTGTATTTTAAATTTTAATTTTTACAAATAAATATAAAGAACAAAATCTAAATTAATCAATTATAGTAAAAGGAGCGAATTCGGACATTTCACATAAAATAATGTATAATAACCACATTTATTGCTATAAACATGCTAGTTTGTTTCCGTAAACAGTTTAGACTTTATACTTTCATTGTCTGGTAGTACAGAGTTCAGTGACATTAACGTACAGAAAAAAAATTAAATCTTCAACGCATTAAATTGTCCGGAATAGCCTCATCACAGGGGGTGAAGTAGGACATGGTAGAAATTAGCTTTTGTCCTATTATTCAACTACAGTCCATATTCGTCAGCATTAAAGATTCATTCAGGATGTCACCATTAGCTTTGTTTTATCCAGCATTGTCCTGGAAGGTTTTCGGGACAATGAAGAATGTGTTTATTGTTCTTTGATCAGGCTTTTAGCACCAAACTTTAGCAAATCCTGTGTTTTTCTAAGAGAAAAACCTTGGTTTGTTTCATTTAGAAAACGAAACAAACCAAGAAGACCTTTTAAGCTTGATTGTATTATTAAATGGATATGGGGTGTTCATGGTGACGAACTGGTAAACTAAATTGCATATATCATGTCTAGTCAAAATTGTTTGCCTACTCACACGTCTGATTGGGGAATTTGCAGTTACTTATTACGGACATTGAATGGCCGAGCAACATCACTAATAGGATGCGTTTACTTTTTGCTAGCTTCCAACTCGCCGAGCTGACACCTAGCTCAGCCTGACGTCATACTAGCACGCTCGTAAAAGTATACAGTAATGGACGCCGCCATCTTTGAACAAACTCCAAGCTCGTTGTAAATTCTTCGAGCACGCCGAGCGCGCTAGGAATGCTAGCAATGACGTCACGGGTGCGAAAAGTAAACGCCGTGCTCATTGGTAGCTAACAAAAATTATACAGGCTGAGTGCGCTAGGGGCGAGATCGGAGCTAAAAGTATACGCACCCATAGATAACTTACTTTTATTGAGAGCTATGGCATTGTACAGGTCTTCAGACCATGTTTGAACACGCTTTCTTTTCAAACTGCGTATCACATTTTAAAACAGAAAAGGCAATACCAGAAATCTTACCAACACATCTTTTGTAACACGCTTTCTCACATACACTTGATACAATGAAAAAAGAACCCAACCGATCTATAAATGCCGCCGCCATGCGACCTTAGCGCACGCTCGTGCGAATACAAAAATACAATGCTCGGCATGGAATATTTACTTAGTACTGTACTTCTTGCACTTCGTGAAAGACATAAAATTCCAAACATTAGACTGTCCAGATTCGGATATCGAATTCTATACGAAAATTTCAATATACGAGTAATATTGTATCTTAATACAGCATTCAGCTAAGAAAAGAAAATAAGTAAGAAACAGCTAATCACAATACATAGGAGAGACTGAAGCAATACCGGACACCGGGTAATGCCGGATATGAAATATTATAAAAATTGCGTATTCTGAAACCGTGTCATTTTTCTTGTTTGTGTGTTCGGGCAACAAGATATTCCCGAATAAAGATTGATGTCAGAAATGCCCAGTGTCTATCTATGTACCTAGTTGTGACAGTAAAAACATATTATAAAAAGTAAAAGTTGGCAGCACTGTCACGCTGCGTCATGATTCCTATCAGCCACGTAGTATAGAGCGTACACTTTTCAAAACCGAATACGTGGCGTCAGTTTCAGGCTTATGAATACGTAGCTTCCTGTTTCGTCTGTCGTATTGTTTTTACGTTGTTTAAAATTACTGTTTTTTTACTTACTTTGATATTATCGAAATGCAGGTTTAATTGTTGTGTGCCTGTCAATAATAAAAAATGTCCATGTTTGAAATTCACAGGTTTTATGAAGTGTCACTTCGTATATAAGTACAATGACTTTTATTTGATAAAAACGATATGTTGTACACTTACTTGTTAGTGTTTTTCACAGTTAAGCTATGTATTTATTATGTGTGTAGTCAAATCTATGTCTAAAAATCAAAAAGTTCATGTCAAAATTCTAGTTAAACATATTGACTATTGACAGTATTTTGTATTTTGTATTTTTTGTTTTTTGGTCATTTACTACTCTTGCCTATTACTAATTCAATCTTAATATCAAGCAAATTTTATAATGAATTTTTACTGCGTTTCTTAATTATTTTTTAAAAAATAATTATGTATTATTTATTAATTATGTTACGCCTTGCCTGCATTCAGGTATCGGACGACAAGAGCAAGATCAAAAACAAAAGCAAACAACTAAAAGCGTTAGTATAATACTTTAAGCTTGTGTACCTTTCTAGGGTTCTATCTTTGTTCTTGTAGTACCAGGCGCGTCGTTACCAGGGAGAGTCTAGTGGAATAAGAAACAACACATTATGTTTATTACAAAATAACGTTTCACGTCTTCAAGAAAACCTTCGATTGCCTACAACAAATCTAATTGCATCCGAGAAGGATGCAATGTCGCGAATGTATTTGCAACTTTATCAATATCAATATACAATATAAA